TTTATCTCGAACAAAAGGGGATTCTAGACAAAAAATACAGTTCTATTAATACAATATTCATTTCATGAAGATGCATTGCTTTCAAGCTAAATCTTGATGAAGTGATCTACCAATAATTAGTTAAAACCATACGAAGTTTAGCTATTTTCAATAATAGAAATCAAAGTGCAAGATTTGAAACTTCATCCATAAACTTGTCATTTTTTATAGAAATGTAGTTTTTACTTTTTTGGTTTCAATTTAAAGATTTCACATACTTGTCATTTTTGACATCTTCAACTACCTTCAATACAATTTAGTCCAATACGCTTATAAGGCCTTCTTGTAGTAGGATATTTGGAAATGCTTATAAGCACTATGGGTTCCTAATTATTTTAAGTCAATCTTATAACCATTTTCAAGTGTTAATGGTTCTCTTTCACTGCCCGTGACAAATTTGCCCATGATTGTGAAACTACTGTTATAATATTTCCCCTCAAATATTGGAATGCCATTTATATTCTTGAAAAATGTTCAGATGTTAATGAAATGTGTTCAAATTGATTTTGTAATTTCTGAGCTCTGTTGCTTTTGTGTCGGACATAGTTGCAAGAAACTACTTCTAAAACAAGTCGTAATATTAATTTTGCAGAGCCCTTATTCTTTGTTTCATTTCTAGAACAGAGTGGCCTAAACAAAATTAATGGAAACACCTTGTATTTCATGTAGTATCTTTGGGTTGTTTTGACTTCTGTTAGAGTCGACAAGTGAGTTCCATGTGTTTAACTTCCTAGTTGTCAAAATTTCTTTGCACTCGTATAGATTTCAATTACTTACTTTATCTTATGAGATTAATCCTTTGTATTTCATTTAGGAAGAAATTCAGACAAGAGATGGTGCTTTGAGGTACAGTAATGAAGCTAAATGTGCTCAAATGGTTCAGATTCTGAAGAAATGAAGTATAATTGAAAAATAATTGGATAAGCTGAAAGAAACAATCACGGTAAGAATGTTACCATTCTTTATTGGACAAATGAAATTTGTGTGTATGATGCCAGGCCAATGAAATTATTTTTAGTTTTATTCAAAATTGCCTTATTCAAAATTAATGCGTATATTTATTTTTTTACTGATTCGCATGTATTCTTAGGATTTTTATCATTTCATATAATTTTTAGAAGAAAACATGCATGGAAAAAAGATATGAATGATCCCAATAAGATCTAAAGAACTGCTTTCTAACTTTTCTAGATATCTTTATGCAATGCGTCTGTAAAAACAATAGTTGCTCAAGCCTAATGGAACATATATCTTACGTTCTTTTCTCTCTCATCTCTGTGGATTTTGTGGACCTTTGTGTGGGTTTTTGATGTATGTAGGGAATCTCTAGCTTTTGATGTTGTAGCTCAAGAGCCTACATTGTGAGCCTGGTCAAAGTCATCGAACATATTGAGAAGATGAGATTAGAGTTCGACATGTGCTTCCTTCATAAAGCTCTTCAGTCTCAAAAGTATGTCCTAGCAAAGATGACTGGTGCAATCACTTCTCAGAATCATTTTGGAGGCGACCTTCCTCTGTAGAGTTTTCTTCCCAGGGTAAATTGCCTCCCTTGACTTAGCTTCATTTAGTTAGATCTTTCAACGAGCATACCTCAACTTTTCTTTAAACTTCTCTAGAACTTTGCTAGGTGTTGCATCTTTGTGAAACCTCAACTCGAATTGCTGAAAAATAATCTTTATTTCTTTCTCTAAAATTTCTTATAAAAATTAGTTGAGTGTTGTAGCACTTGTAATCTCAGCTCTGGACTGTTTAAAAGAAATCATTAGTTCTTCCTTTTAAAATTTTTTATAAAAAATTGGCTAAAAGCATTTTAGCACTTGGAACCTCAACTCAGATTGCTTTTCTTCCAAAAGATTTCTTTCTTGGAATTTGGACTTGCTTAAGAGCAATCTTGCTTTCTTCTAAAATTCCTTGTGGGACTTACAAAACTCATTACCTCAGCTCGAACTGCTCGAGTTCCTTTTGGAAATTTGGACTTTCATAAGAGCATTCATTACTTTCGAATAGAATTTCGTATGGTAATTGGATGAAGGGTTGTAGCATTAAGAACCTCAGTTTGAAATACTTAAGGAGACGTGGCATGATATTGAATTGACGCAAAATAACTAACATTGAATCATATCTATATATAATTTACTTATCGTTTTTTTCATGAAAGACGAATGTTTAGCTATTGTAGAAAATTAAAAATTTTTATGTAATGCCTTTCAAAGATTCTTTCAATTGACATGTCAACTTTTTTATATTATTTGATAGGATTAGTTGTTTCCGCCACAAATTCGTGAAGTAGTGTACTTTGTCGACCATCTTTTGAGTACAATGAAAAATTTATGCCAAGGATATTTTTGAAACATTATAAATCGATGTTATCTTTTTAACTTAAATGAATTTAAATCGGATTTGAATTCCGTTTGTTGGTGAATAATCCTTTAGATTAAGAATCTTGATTTTAGTCGCTATCTTATTTTTTCCATTTTTGGAAAAAAAAATCATCTCAAGCATTAAGATAATGAGTGAATATAACATTGTAACAATTTTTTTTCATCATAGAAAATCTCCAAATTACCCAATTCTCGACCACCCACATTCATCGCCAAAAAACCATGGGATTCTTCTAACGTAATGTGATTACAAGAATCCAAAGCACCCATCTAGTATTTCAATCAAAAAGACTCAAAATATCGCTTATAATTTCAACGAATTCCTGTAACCAAGTAACAGAAAGTCATAAAAAATAGACCCAAAATAAAAATCCAAAAGGGGGTTCAAAAAAATCCATTAAATTTCGTAAAACAAACACCTGTAATTACTAAAATCTAAGTAAGAAATGAAAAGTTATTGCACAAACTGTATGGACGAACTGAAGTGGTGTGTGAAATTGGAGAAATATTACAGTAGATGTGATGATTGCAGTGAATTGGCGAGTGATAATAGAGAAATGATTGAAGAAAACACGACGTCGTTTTTGCTTCCACGATAAAAAAATAAAAATAAAAAAATTGTTACAATGTGATAAAATGAAAGAATTCACTGTTGATAACTATAGAAACTTTCCATTCTCCTTTTTAAATAGTAGGGAAACAATGATTTTCTGATCCTTTCCCCAAATAACGTGGCTTGAATCTTAGTGATTTGCAATTACTAAAATGATGACACATTGGAAACATTGCAAATATTAAATTCAAATGTGCATATGAGAAGCAGTTGTAGGATAATAATATGTATGTAACTCTAGTGATATAAATCAAAATTAGTTTTAAAACTTCAACCGGATCTTTCGAATTTGTGTAACTTTGATATTCCAATCTTTATCAAACGCATTAAAATAAGTATTTATACTTTTTGGTATAATAAATAAATGTATCAAATAAAAATTTGAATTCACCAAATTGTGAAAATAAATGGTTAGAACTCATTAAAACCCAAATGACTAAAAAATCCATAAAACGACAACAAAACACAAAATGCTATTGAAATGTCATGAGGTATTATTATTTAATTTTTTTTTATCATACCCAAATTCAAAACGACAACAAAATCACCTAAAATGAATGTATTGTTAACAAGTATAAAAAAAAAAAGAAAAAAGAAGAAACGTTATTAAAAGCGTGCAAACAAAAAATCGCAATAAAACAATGAATAAAATAAATCTAGCTTTCACTATCGAGGAAGAATTAGCTAATGAGACAAGATTGTGGACCACTTCGTTCTCAATAGAGACACAAAGTGACGAGAGCCACATCCAACCTCATTATGTAATGCTACAATATCAAGGCAAGTGAAGTAGATGTAGAAGAGCACGACCTAACACGATGAACTTCTTGTATTAGTAGCTCTTGATTTTCACAAACAACTTACCTCTATGAAAGAGTGACCTCCTCGACGTCTTTCAGTTCAAAGTAGATAATAAATTATGGCCAACATCGTTTGATTCCAATAATAACCACATCGATTCGAGTATCAACAAAAATTGTAAATCGAATGAAACAACTTGACTATAAATAATAGAAATCGCATCGAAACATAGTCCATCTGTTATGTTTTGGTAGTATCTTATGCAATTAAAATCTATGCTATTAATAAGGATTAAAATCTAGACTTTAATATAAGTTACCATCAACAATTAATTAACAAAATTTATAGAATTCACAACTTTTCAACCACACATTTCATTAACTTATCAAAACCTATTAAAAAATTGATTTTAATCCCTATGAAATAGGAAACTTATGCATTATTTAAAAATCGCTTATTTCTTACTCTTATTTTCAATTTCACATTCTCAAAACGGATTATTTTTCACGTTTGTTCGTAACTTTTTAGTCTTGTTTGGTGGGGTTTTTTTTGGAAAAACATTGTTTTAAATAATAATTTTTTGAAAAATGTATGGTTAAAAAGTAGGAAAAAAATTGAATTTACTTGTAGAATATTTATTATTTGAATGTGTGGTAAATATTTAGAAAAAAGAATTTTGAAATGAGGGACAAACAATTACTTAATCACCTTGAAAAATAAAAAAAATAAAAAATCTGGTTATTTTGAACTTTGAAGAACAGGACATCGACCAGATTCCAATACTGTTCCCAAAAAATACCCTTTCCTGTTAAAGATGATGTGGGTTGGCTCCATGTGGATCCAACTTGATACAATATGGCCTAATTATGTTACAGTCAAAGTAATTATTGATATAATAGTTGACAAATGACTTGTTCGATAGTGATTATGAGAATTTATTTTTTAATCATTAAAGAGAAAAGTGAATCCTAACCGTAAGCAAAAAATTTTAAAATGATGGTTGAAATAGTAAAATAATGATAAAAAATTTAATTTTTTAAGATGAAAAATTGCTGCCACCATTAAACTGTTTTAAATATAGTCAACTTTTTCATTTAATCACGTTTTGTCAAGTAAAATTGGATAACTCCATCTGTGAACAAATGTGGCATTACCGCAATTTGGCCAAGGAAACATAGCATCACACCACGAAAATGATGTATGTATGCCACTTTCTAGTCCTGTATAGTGCTGTGTTATCCGTTCGAAAATGGCAATCAATTCATTATTCCCAGCAAATCCACCATGCACAGTGCTCCACCCAACTCTAATACTGTTGCGTTGTCAGCGTGAGTAACCAGTTTGTTGAACCACGAAAATTCAACCTGTTTGCACCCCCCACCCAAAAAGGCAATGTCGAATCCAAACTCCACCGCCAACAACCTCCCTATTGACGCCAGAACCACCACTTCCCGCCGCCGCTTACCGAACTTCAACTGGAAAGGTGTAAAACCCATTCCCTTTTTCATCTCTATTTTCATTGGGTTACTTCTCCGATTCGCAGTACCAAAACCGCACTCACTCACGCCAAAGGCGTGGTCCCTTCTCTCCATTTTCCTCACCACCATTTCGGGTCTCATTCTCAGCCCGTTACCTGTAGGTGCATGGGCTTTTACATGCCTCACGCTCGCTGTAATCACTAAAACTCTTACATTCGCTGCTGCGTTTTCCGCCTTTACTAATGAGGTCATCTGGCTTATTGTGATTTCCTTCTTCTTTTCGAAAGGTTTTGTGAAGACGGGGCTTGGGGATAGGATTGCTATGCTTTTTGTTCGGTGGCTTGGGAAGAGTACTCTGGGGTTGTCTTATGGGTTGGTTTTGAGTGAAGCCGTCATTTCGCCCGCCATGCCGAGCACGACGGCGCGGGCTGGAGGAATTTTCTTGCCCATTATTAAGTCCTTGGCGGTCGGTGCTGATAGTAGGCCCAAGGACGGATCGGCTAGGAAGATTGGAGCATATCTCATTCAATCCCAGAATCAGGTTGGTGTAAAAACTGTGTTAAAGTTTTACTATCTTTTTAGTTTATTTTCTCAAATACATAAATCAAATGTTTAATGTATTTAGTTGGATTATTCGGGTCCTAATAATATGATGAAGATTGCAATGTGAATAGTCAATTAGCATATGAAAGAATTATGCGCACATTTTTGATAATTTGATTTTATATGCAAAATCATAACTCATTAATAACTTGCGGTTCTGCTCGACTTTCCACAAAAGAAGAGATATGTCAGTTTTTTAGTGAAGATGTTGTAAGGCAAAAGGTCACACAATATTAAACCAAAAAGCAAGAAATTGAAATCGGCCAAAAGTAAACTGTACAGAAAATTAAAGAATCAACACAATATTTCTTTCGGTCTAAGCCCTGGAGGTTCGGCGACCACATCTAACGCCTACATCTCCTGTTGAGCATCCAACAAGTTGGATTACGCTCGATTGCACTATAATAGCCAAAAATGGCAATGAAGGGTTACAAGAGTTCAACAAATACACTGAGATGAAGTAAAGATACTTATCTCTCAAAATCGACTCAAAACCTTCGAAGAATCACGAAGAAACTTCACTGCATCCCTCTCAAAGCATCACAACAGAAGAGGACACAAACCATTACAGATAATCACTCAGAATATCTAAACGAAATCATTAGGACTTTCACATTTAGGGCCTCAAATCAGAGATTTGAGCCACAGAATCAAGCAGAACAAACCTTAACCAAATGAGGGGTTTTTCCTTTCTTTCTCTCAAAGACCAAGAGTAAAACGCTTAATGGAGTCAATGCAAGTGCCAAGTGAAACGGCACATTATAATGGAAGATTCCAGAATCAATCCAATAGCCAAGGTTCAACCACATGTCACCACCCAGACGAAAGCGCCAATTTAATAGAGTTGCATTTCCACAAAACACGACTTCACAGTGTAATAAAATTTTGGAAGCAAACTACCATGGTTCGAATCTCACATTCTCTACCTTGCTATCAGAATTTTGGAACTATAGTGCAGCCAGAAGCAAATCCTTAACTCATTATCATTTGCTCTATTTACCTGTACAAAAATTACAAACTATCAACAGATAAAAGTTTCAAAAAGTTTAAGAATTTGTTTAATGGAATTATTTTTGTACCCATATCTGATGGATTAAAATGAGTAGAAACTTTATCAATCTTAATTTCACCTTTTGAGACTATATCTCTTATAAAATGATTCTTAACATCAATATGTTTTGATCTGTCATGAAACATGGGATTTTTGCTTAGGTGAATGACACACTGATTATCAGAAAATATCACAGTGAGATTATCATTAAAACTCTCCCTCCTTAATAGCATCAGTTGCTGCTATGTATTCTGCCTCAGTAGAGGACAGAGCTACAATTTTCTGAAGTTGAGACTTCCAAATGTTTTGATCTGTTATGAAACATGGGATTTTTGCTTAGGTGAATGACACACTGATTATCAGAAAATATCACAGTGAGATTATCATTAAAATTCTCCCTCCTTAACAGCATCAGTTGCTGCTATGTATTCTGCCTCAGTAGAGGACAGAGCTACAATTTTCTGAAGTTGAGACTTCCAACTAATGGCAGTACCACATAGTGTATAAAAATAGGATGAGGTTGACTTTCTATTATCTTTATTTCCTGCAAAGTCAGAGTCAGTATAGCCTTTCAAACATATCCCATTTTTATTGTTTCTCCAAATTTGCATGCCCAATATTCTTTTAGTAGCACCAAGGTCTTTCATATCAAACTCAGAACTTAACTTTGATTTAATATATCAATTTTTGATTTATCAGAACTTAACTTTGATTTAACATATCGTCCACATACAGGATCAGATATAATGAGTTTTCAACTCCACTACCTTTGCAGTACAAGCAAGTATCATATTGGCTTCTTTTAAATCCAAGTTTCAAGACAAAAGTGTCAAATCTTTTGTACCATTGCCTAGGTGCTTGCTTTAGGTCATACAAGGATTTCGTTAACAAACAAACAATGTTTTCAGGATCATCTTCCTCAAAACCAATTGGTTGTCTCATGTATATTATTTCATTTAATTCCCCATACAGGAAAGCAATTTTAACATCTAGTTGATCAAGTTCCAATTTAAATTGTGTAACAAGTGCAAACAGACATCTGATAGTAACATACTTAGCAACAGGAGAAAAAATTTCAGTATAGTTAGCCAACAACATGTCATCCACATACAGGATCAGATATAATGAGTTTTCAACTCCACTACCTTTGCAGTACAAGCAAGTATCATATTGGCTTCTTTTAAATCCAAGTTTCAATACAAAAGTGTCAAATCTTTTGTACCACTGCCTAGGTGTCTGCTTTAGGCCATACAAGGATTTCTTTAACAAACAAACAGTGTTTTCAGGATCTCCTTCCTCAAAACCAATTGGTTGTTTCATGTATATTATTTCATCTAATTCTCCATACAGGAAAGCAGTTTTAACATCTAGTTGATCAAGTTCCCATTTAAATTGTGTAACAAATGCAAGTAAACATTTGATAGTAACATATTTAGCAACAGGAGAAAAAATTTCAGTATAGTCCACACCTTCTTTTTGTGTGAAACCCTTTGCTACAAGTCTAGCTTTATATCTCATGTTTTTATCATCACCTTCTCCATATTTTATTTTATAAATCCACTTGCAATCAATTAATTTTTGTCCTTTGGGCTTATCAACTAGAATCCATGTCTTATTTTTAAGGAGTGAAGACATTTCATCTTCCATGGCCATTTTCCAATGTTTTCTTTCTTTACATTCCATGGCTTCTTCAAAAGTGTTTGGCTCATTTTCAGTTAGGTTTTGGTAGGTAAATAAGGATACAAAAGTGTCACTATCAAACCTAGTGGAGGGTCTGATTTGCCTTCTCTCCTATCTCTTATGAGTTGATACTCATTAAAGAGAAGAGTTGCAGAATCAGCCTCTTCAACATGTTCAGTTTCATCTTCAGTTTCAGGTAAAATAACATGTTCTTCATTTTCATTTCCTTCTGCAGTAGTTACAAAAATATTCTGGTTACTGCAAGAATGCTCCACCTCAATTTGAACATCTTTTTCAGTCAAGTTATTTTCTTTTCCTTCAAGACATGGCATCAAAAATTCATTAAAGACTACATCCTTTCTAATTATTACTTTATAATCTTTTTCATATTTAACCCATAATCTGTACCCTTTAACATGTTCATCATAACCCAAGAAAACACACTTTAATGATCTTGGTTCTAGTTTACCAACATTTTGATGAGCATAGATAGTACAACCAAATATTTTCAGATAAGAGTAATTTACAGGACTATTAGACCACACATTTTCAGGAATAGCAAAGTTTAGTGCACTAGTAGGACTTCTATTAATCAGATAAGCTGAAGTTTTAACTGCTTCACCCCAAAACATTTTAGACAGTCCAGAGCTTAATAGCATGCATCTAACTTTATTTAACACAGTTCTATTCATTCTTTCAGCCATTCCATTTTGTTGTGGTGTGTATGGAACAGTTTTGTGTCTCATGATGCCATATTCCTCACAAAGATTATCAAATTCAGAATTGCAAAATTTCAAGCCATTATCAGTTCTTAAATATTTTACTTTAAGATCAATCTGATTTTCAACTTGAATTTTCCAGTTCTTAAAAGCAAGAAATGTCTCATCTTTAGACTTTAGTAGATGAATCCAAATTTTTCTTGAGAAATCATCAACTATTAGGATGTGTTTGATTACATTTATTTTCCATGGAAAATATCAATTTTCCATCCAAATTCCTACTTTGAGTGTTTGATTGCTATTTTTTTCCATGGAAAACATTTTCCAACTTTTGAAAATATGCCTAATTTTCCTTTTTTTAAGGAAAATATTTTCTTGGGTAGAGGTGGTTTTTATTTTCCACAAAAGATGGAAAATATTTTCTTTTCTAGGTGATATTTTCCATGTCAATCAAACACACTCTTAGTAAAAAATATTTAAAATCAGTTAAAGTAGAGACAGAAGCAGGACCCCACAGATCAGCATGCAAATATTCAAGTCTTTGTTTGGACTTATGAATTCCACTTTGAAAAGGAAGTTTGGCTTGCTTTCCCAAAATACAATGTTCACAGGAGTCAAAATCACCAAGATTAAGTTTTCCAAAAACACCTTTTGAATGCAAAATTTTTAAACCCTTTTTACCAATATGACCAAGCCTATCATGCCACAGTTTTGCCAAAGTAAATTTTTCAGATACAACAGAAGCAGTTAAACCAAGCAAAGATTTTGCATTCAGACAATAAAGGCCATGTCTCTTCGGGGCTGAAGTGACCAAGTCATTTCCCCTAAGAATTTTTATATGTCCTTGCCCCATAATTATGTTAAACTCCTTGTCATCCAACATTCCTAAGGATACTAAGTTTCTTTTCAAATCTGGGTCATGTCTTGTGTTTTCTAGAAACAAAACATTACCATTTTCTAGTAATAATTTGACAGTCCCAATTTCACTCACTTTACATGCAAAGTTGTTTCCCATTGTAACCTGTCCCCCTTTGGTTCTTTCTAGATTTATAAAACAGTTTTTGTTTGGGCACATATGAAAAGAACATCCTGAGTCAAGTATCCATTCATTACTTAGGCATAACCATTTTCTGTTTTAGTTTTATCATATGCCAGTACATTACTTCCATCAATGCCCTTTTCTTTTGAATCGTTTTTCTTTTTAAAACAATCTTTTGCAAAATGACCAAGCTTACCACAATAATAGCATTTTTTACCTTTTGCATTATTTTTTGTCTTACTTTTGTCAACCCATCTTTTATTAGTTTTTGAAAACTTAAAATTTTGTATAGGTTTTTCAAAAGATTTTCCTTTAATTAAGAAACTAGTTCCAATATGACTATTACTTGACTCAGCGTTAATTTCTAAAGCTTTATTCCTTAAAGCATTGGTTATATCATCAATAGTGAGTTCTTCCCTACCATATTCAAGGGCAACTTTAATGTCTTTATACTTGTCACTTATGGAGTTTAACAGAACTACAGCTAATTGATTTTTTGAAAGTTTTTCATCACAATTGGTCAAGTCTTGGTAAGTTTTGTGAACCTACTAAGGTTCTCTTCTATGTCAACTGTAGGATCCATTTTAAAGGAGAAAAATTGTTTTAGAAGAAAACATTTGTTTGGAGTGGTTTTGGTCTCATACTTAGCCTTAAGTTTGGCCCAAAGATCAGAGGCAGTAGTAGTTTCACCTACCTCTCTGATCACATTATCAGACAATTACAGAGATATGGTACTCCAAGCAATTTCCTTAAGTTCAGATTTCTTAGTAGGTGCTAAACCCTCAGGCCATGAATCATCTAATGCCTTAGCACATTTCATTTGCATCAAAATGACTTTCATTTTCTGACTCCACATATCAAAATCAATTTTACCATCAAATTGACTCACTTCAAATTTTGCAGTAGCCATAGTGCATGCAAGTTATTACAAAACAGGATTTTAGCAAAAAATCAGTACAGTTGTAAACAGAAACCCTAAATTGCCAACTTTGAAATCACAGTAAATCACAAAGTAATACATGATTTCACCAATCAAGAAATATCAATAGAGAGAGCAGGCTTAATCAATCAGTAGAAAACCAATTAATAAGATCAGATTATAAGGTTTCACAGATCTTTCCAGCTAGATTCTCCCAAGTTACACACCCGTACTTGATTTATCTCAGATTCCAGTGGCCTCACAGGAGCCACTGGACAAAGATTAGTCTCAAGGGGGTTTCAACGGTGTACTGGAAAATCAGAGAAAGTTCAAGAAACACAAATTTCTCAAATGTAATATGCAGTTAGTTGAAAAAGATCTCACCCAGCGAGTTCAATGACTCGAGGCAGTTCAAATTTGCTTTTCAGCAGTTCCAAAAATTTAAGATCTATCGAAGATCCACCTTTCTCTCCAAGATTCGGGTATCTTGCTCCTCAGTAAGGCTCTGATACCACTGTAAGGCAAAAGGTCACACAATGTTAAACCAAGAAGCAAGAAATTGAAATCGACCAAAAGTAAACTGTGCAGAAAATTAAAAAATCAACACAAGATTTCTTTCGGCCTAAGCCCCAGAGATTCGGCGACCCATCTAACGCCTACATCCCCCGTTGAGCATCCAACAAGTTGGATTACGCTCGGTTGAACTATAATAGCCAAAAATGGCAACGAAGGGTTACAAAAGTTCAACAAATACACTGAGATGAAGCAAAGATACTTATCTCTCAAGATCGACTCAAAACCTTCGAAGAATCACGAAGAAACTTCACTCCATTCCTCTCAAAACATCACAACAGAAGAGGACACAAACTATTACAGATAATCACTCAGAATATCTAAACAAAATCACCAAGAGTTTCACATTTAAGGCCTCAAATCAGAGATTTGAGCTATAGAATCAAGCAGAACAAACCCTAACCAGACGAGGGGTTTTTCCTCTCTCTCTCTCTCTCTCAAAGACCAAGAGTAAAACGCGTAATGGAGTCAATCCAAGTGCCAAGTGAAACAGCACATTATAATGGAAGGTTCCAGAATCAATCCAACAGTCAAGGTTCAACCACATGTCGCCATCCAGGCGAAAGTGCCAATTTAATAGAGTTGCATGTCCACAAAACACGACTTCACAGTGTAATAAAATTCTGGAAGCAAAATACCATGGTTCGAATCTCACAGATGTTCTTAACAATAATCAGAGTTTTCTTTAGAATCTAATGTTGCATTTAGTAGGTGTGTGCTTCGGATAAATGTTGGCTTGAGAAGTAGTAGATTATCTCGTTCTTATTAATGTGACACAGACAAAGTGCTGAATTGACGGGTTTACATCTTATTTGCCTTTTCATTAATTATTCATGAGACAAATCTCAAATTTATTGAAAATAAAACTTGCTGTCCTTCTTTTTATTTTTTTATTTTTTATTTTTTATTTTTATTTTTTATCACTACAAATGAATTAGTAAAGACAGGACATTGTCGAAAGAGTCCTGTTAACTTGAGTTAACCTTCCACCATTCAGTAAATATTGTTTCTTTCAGGATGTCACATGTTGTCCATCTTCTCAATCACAACTTGAAAAGTGGATCCCATGAGGTAAACCCAAATAAGTTGGCAGACAGTGATATAACATCCTAGATTTGCAGCCATTGCTCGAATTTCTTGGGTATACCCCACTGTAATAATTGGTGTGACTTGCCAAATTTAATCTTCAAAAGTGAAAGAACTTGGAAGAAGAGAAAGTTAATTCTGTGATATCTTGACTGAAAGATGTCTGCATCACATTTGTTAGAGAATTATTGACAAATAATAAGCAAGTCACCTTATGCTCTTTGTTCTTATCATTAGAATACTTTATTAGCACGTGGTGTGATGTACAAGATGAAAAAACATAATGAACGGTGATTTGGTATATGATCTAGCTAATATCGATTTTTGACTTTAATTGACATGGTTAATCTTGATGAGGTTGGAAGAGTGATCAGTCACAAGCTTATGTGAGATGAGAAATTATTGCTTAATCAGGTGAATGGAGAAGCGTCTCGATTTTCATCTTGTTATCTTATCTTGAATTTTATAAGCCCAATCCCCCTTGCAGTAAGTCAAGTTTTGCATGGTGATTACTTGAGCAAAACCTTTCCTGCAAGTTTGTTACACATGGCTTCCTTCACTTAATATTTGGACATTCTTTGATTTGGTAATTGGTTACCCATTGGGGACAACTACATTTGATCAACATATTGGTAAATGAGGCTATATTTTTGGATGTGCCATTTGAAAAGTTTTATTGGGTTCTTCATTTTCGGAGATTAGTTAGTCAGGGAATCCATTGCCAATATTAGTGCTCCCTTTGATTTTAGATTTTAATTCTCCTTGTTAGCAGAAGTACGTACATTAATTTCCCCAAAAAAATCTTGGATCTTTTCTACTTACTTGTTCTTATACTCCATGTTGTATTTGTTTCAGAGTTCAGCGTCGTCTTCCCTCTCAAATCCATCTTTCCTGAACATTTCAACTTGACGGTGTTATCCACGTATATGTAAATCTTAATATATCTCATCAAGCAGATGGTCAATGCTTTGCTCCTTTCTTCTTTTTTCCACTCTTTTGTAGGAAAAGAAAGAAAACCTTTAGCAGTCCTGAGTAGATCGATTTTATCATTTAGTTCTTAACACTAGACTCATAAGATGCTCTGCAATGTACTTAGAAAAGCTGGAAGTTGAATGCCAGTAAAAAGTCAGAAGTTTTTTGGAAAATACATATTCATTTAGGAAGAGCTGGCCTGTTCCTGCTGTGATTAACCCAAAGCTCTTTCAGACATTTGTTGCGTTTTTTCTGTCGCAAGTATATGATATCGTAACAGTTAATATGGTGGACTTTTGAGTTCGAATTATCGTTCTTAAGAGGACTATATTTCAATACTTAATCTAATATTTCTAACTCTTATTTGATGAAAACAAACAAAGAATTGTGATTTGTTGTGATTTTTGATCTAGCTACTTGAGAATAGCGGGATGCACACAAAGATCAATTTACAATTCAAATAGAAATGGATATTAGGGCATAACAGTTTCATCTATTGATTACCTTTTAAGCCTTAATTCAAGATTCACAAATCTAATGCAGTGTTTGATCGAATTCTTTTATTGTATTCAATTTATCTCTCTCAAGTTATCATTGAGCATATATAACTAATTCAATTACATATTTCTATGTGAATCAATCTTTGTTAGACGAAATATTAATTTTAAGAATTCATATAACGATCGCAATAATTAACATAGGTATCATTACACTAAAATAATAGATTTTACTGTGTGGTCTAAATTTAAAACTCACATTTGGATTTGTAAAAGATTTACAAAGTCATTGAATTATAGTTCAAGTAATTCAAAGCATTAAATACTTGAATAAAATCAACATATAAACTCTTAAAGAACTAGAATATTGAATAAAGAAATAAAGGGTTTCAAATAGATTACATTGTTCGTCCTAATATATGGTTTAGCTACTCATAATAATTGAAGAAAAACAAAAAAATTGTATTGAGTACATCATCGGATTTTGGATTGAGATGTAAAAAAAAAGTGGATGAATCTTGCACTAAATTTCTCTTCTTGTTCCAAATCTTGATTGCAAACTCATGATTTCTTGTTTTTCTCCTTTGATTTTGATCTCTAATTCTCCAAGTCGTGTTCTATGTATCTCAATGGGTGGAACTCCCCATAAGTGCCTCCATCTTCGTATTTATACTTCCCTTCAGATTTTTATCGCATTGAGAGTTCATGGGCTTCACTATGGGCCAAAAAATGTGCTCTAGTTTGTCTTTAGGTGCCGAAGCACCGCTTGGAATTGGTGCTGCAGCGCCTGATGTATGGTGCCTCTATGGCGCCACGGTCCCACATCTTTGTTTGTCTTCCTTCTGGTGCCACCTCTCAGATTACGTTTCTCCTCTTCCTAATTTTGATGTAGGAAATTGACTCTTTTGCCATTTTGTTCCTTTTTTCTCCCCGGTTCACGTCAATGGCTTTGTTTCCTGGACTTTTGTCACCTCTCGGATTTTGCTCCTCCTCTTCCTTATTGATGTAAGAAATTGATTCTTTTGCCCTTTTGTACGTCTTTTCTCCCCAGTTTGTATCAATGGCTTTGTTTCCTCCACTTTTACAATAATTTACACTACCTCACCACACCTATAAAATAACACTAATAAACACATTAAAAACGTTCAATGCTTCTAAGATCTTACCAAAAATCAAGTTAACATAGTATGAAACTTGTGGGTAAAACACACTCAACAACGTTCTATATTTTGAGCTAATGTACAATCATGTTACATATTGATATTCTACATATTATACCTATTTTTGTTTCTCTTTCTGTACCTTATTCCATTTTTTTAATTTTTCTATATTTAATCATTTCCCTTGTTGATGCTTGACAGTCAGCCAGTAACTCGAGTGCTCTTTTCCTGACAGCTGCAGCTCAAAACATGTTGTGTGTTAAATTAGCTGACAGTATTGGTGTTAAAATCCCAAATCGATGGGTCACTTGGCTCAAGGCATCTAGCATACCTGCGTTGATTTCGCTTTCTGCAACTCCATTCATCCTATATAAGATCTTTCCCCCTGAAATGAAAGCAACGCCCGATGCTCCAGCCATGGCCAAGAGGAAATTGGAGCAAATGGGTCCTGTCAAAAGAGACGAATGGTTGATGGTGGGAACCATGCTTCTGACAGTTGCATTATGGATTTCAGGGTAATGCTTAGCTTTCTCAGGCAAAGAGGCTGCTTATGATGTCACATGCTTAGGACTAAGGCATGACAAATAGTTTAATCTCAAGTGCTAAAATAAATTTCCCGAATAATAAGTAGGTTATGTATTCAACTTTTCGCAATCATCTCACATTTTCTTCAATACAAATTTGAAGTGTCATTTCCACTAGAATATCTTTGTTACTGATTCCATACTCAGTTAAATTTACTTCTATAGGTTTGTGGAGTACTGACTACTGACAGCCTTCATTTCTGCATACAGAGAGGCTCTTGGCATGACTAGTGTTATTGCTGCTATGCTGGGTTTGTCAATACTTCTGCTGTTAGGAGTACTTGATTGGGAAGATTGTTTAAGCGAGATGCAAGCATGGGATACCCTGGCTTGGTTTGGAGTTCTAGTCGGCATGGCTACTCAATTAACGGCTCTTGGTGTTGTACCCTGGATGTCTAAATGTGTGGCCAAATTACTTAAATCTCTTTCAGTGAACTGGTTTGGTGCATTTTGTATCCTTCAGACAGCATACTTCTTTATCCACTATCTATTTGCTAGTCAAACTGCACATGTTGGAGCCCTATACTCGGCATTTCTTGGAATGCACGTGGCATCCCAAGTTCCTGGTTTGTTGGCTGCTCTAGCTTTGGGATACAACACAAATCTTTTTGGTGCACTGACACATTATAGCAGTGGTCAGGCTGCTGTTTACTATGGAGGTATTTTATCTCTCATTATACGAAAATGTTTTTTTTTTTTTTACCAGATTACTTTCAGCACTGATATATGGTGGTGAGGAAAAGTTAACAAATAACTATAAAAGGTTAATCACACTATTGTAGAAATATTTTGAGATAATCAGAAAAATACAACATCGAATATCATAATTCAGGCTTTAATTTTCTTTATGTAGACGAAGAATATGATTACATACCTAATAACCATTTTTCTAAATTACATATAACAATCTTTGACCTATCAGGAAATTTTCTTTTCGTCTGGTTATAATTTTGTGTTGACCATCTCGATTTTTACTTATGTTTTATTTTTTTTAATAACCTAGTTGAGAAAAAGTCTTTGTTACGACAATGAACTGCGAAGTACTCAATCATACGTTACTCATTTCCTGTCTTATATTGCCAATCTGTTAATCGAAATTAGAATTCATCCTTTTTTCTTTTTTTTTTTTTTTCATTTCCAATAGGTCTTCAAATTGTCCGTTTGTAAAAATGGAAACTCTTCTTATTGGATGATCAGATATTCCCGAAAAATCGAAAACTGATTGATAAGGGCTTTGTGAAATCTTCTACGTTACTCATTTCCTGACTTATATTCCCATTCCAAATGTCTTGGGGACATTTTTCTTTGAACAGTCTGTAATTTTAAGTTAGAATTTGTCAGTTAGAATTGATTTTAGTTCTTACTGCTTGTGGTTCACAGCTGGTTATGTAGAACTCCATGACGTTTTCAAATTGGGAATTGCAATGGCCCTTATTAACATTGTGATATGGGGATTAACTGGAGCAGCTTGGTGGAAAGTTTTAGGCCTTTATTGAGATCCAAAAATGTCTTCATTCTTACGATATTAGTGCTCAGAATATGTATTGAATTTTATGGATATATGAGAGTTCATTTTTGACAGAATCCTCACACTATTGGAATTTATGCAACAGCTGGTATCTGTTAAAAACAATATAAATATCGAGTTGAGTTGTTGAACTTCAAAAAAGTATATCCCTGGAGATGCCATATTCGAAATGAGTTCAAAGTACATGTTGGACTTGAGTATTATTCTCATTTTCATATCATTCAGGAGATAAATAGAATGCTTCTTGGAATTCATATGATACAGATGTGATGAGTTTGTATGGGATATGAGAGTTGGCTTTTCAAATGAGGTGTTCGCTTATACGGATCAAGCCATAATCCTTTCTTAAACAGAATAAAATAAAACAATTTAAAAACACAGATTTATTGTCATTCATCTTGACATTGAGAGCTATGTCCACTTGCTGCTGCAGGTTATCACGCCTGACCAGCTAACCCGATGCTAACCTTTTTAGGGCATTGGCAGGAGTTGCCCCCAGGGAAGTGTCTTTAGGCAGGGAGTTGAGTTAATAAAGAAGACGAGCACAAGATTTTTCTCACACCTCACACACTCTCAAAACCATGTCCCTAAAATAATTTAGGAACTGTTTGACTGCAAAGATGGAATTTAGGTGGAAATAAAACGAATTCGAGGGAATTGGATTGTTCAGAAATTGTTTTACTGTGAATTGTCAATTAATAGTGTTTGATTGTTATAAAAATAAAAGTGTCTTTTTATGTTCCTTTGATTTTGTTTTTCATGGAAATTGTCAATTTAAGGGATATTCACTTCCACAATTGTTCCTAAAATTTGTCTTCACTGTAAAAAATCAAAATCAAAATAAAAAATCATCTATATTTTAGTGTTCGTTTGACTTTGTTTTACATGAAATTATCAATTTAAAGGATATCCTCTTTTACAGTTGTTCCTAAAATTTGTTCTCATTACCAAAATAAAAAAATAGAAAAATAATAAATAATAATAATAATAATAAATAAATAAATAAAAATAAAATTACCTATCCCATGGGAAAATGAATTCCCCAAAAACTTGGAAATTGTGGATGTGTGAGGGAAATGTGGAAAACTAATTGCCTAGAAATTTTGGTTATCAAACAAGTCAAAAGGGAGGAATGGAATTTGTTTTCCATTTTCCATGAAAAATTTTGGACTATCAAATATAGCCTTATATAGTAGGAATATTTGAACAACCTATTAGATATATTAGGTCGATCCTTAGTCGAGGAGACAAGTGTATAATATTATAAGGCTCCGCACAGTCCAACACTATAAGTTGGAAGGGATGGATATGGGTTCACTTAGGACCTGACTGGGTGCTAACATTATTGAATCCATTCCACATACAGTTGCATGGCTTTCTAATATTTCAATCTTAGATAACTGATATGTTCCACTTGTACTATAACAAAATGGCTGCCCAGAAAATCTTTAAATTGGTTTTTAGTTATTTTTGAATGGTTCAGTTCATTGCAATAACTGGTATTTGTTACAGTCAGTAGTAGATTTATTATTAACTAACTGAACCAATGGGATAGAATGATTTATGTTCCTTACCCATATTAATCTGAAACAAGACTTTATTTGTTGTAGTCGTCTAATGACTTGGAGTTGTTTCAAGTGACTTACTCTTCATTCTCTTGGCTTCACAGGAAGTCCTTCTTCTCCATTCTCCCGGCTCGACACTAGGTTTAAGCGAATTTGAAAGGAATACAGTTGTCCAACAAGAAATGCTGCTAATGATGAGTGAAATTTTTCGACAGTTAAACAAGTCGAATTTACAAAATTTGGGTATAGACCTGATCTAGAAATTTTTACTGGTAAATCAATGTTCTATGTACTCAAAAATTTGTTATTTCAATAGAGTGGCATTCCTTATTGGTTCTTTCACTGTAATATAATGAGCAGGAAAATCTCGTTAAGCAGATTTTCACAATGCATAAAATAGACGTTAGGCTCAAGTCCTGATCCCTTGTTATGAGAAAAAATAGAATGAAAATCGAAAAATAGGTAAAGCGCGCACAATATTCATATTGGTAGACTCTCAATGTGGAAGTTACATCCATGTGCTGATGCAGTTTCCACTTTGGAAGTGTATATGTTGTTTTGCCCCCTCGTGATTTTCTGTTGCATTCCACAGTATTCAAACTCAAGTTGTTATATAATACGTATTTGTTCAATTGATATCAGAATTTAACTTAAGTATCTCATAAAACAGAGGTCTTGAGTTCGAATTTTAAGGACGCAATAAAAAGTCGTGAGGGATAAGAGGATGAATGCTCTCTTAAAAGGGATAGCATGTACAATATAATGGTTTGAACATAGAAGTTGAATTTTTACAACGGGAATGATTGTTTTTTGGGGGTTTTACATAAAATTAATTGTTATACCCTTGTTCTAAAGGGTGGGGCGTAAGCGTGAGGAAAAAAACTTAGATGTGAAAAATGGAGAGAAACTTTATTTGACATATAGCCAAGCGCCCCCCCCCCCCCC